CCCCTCTTTTTCCTTTCTTCTTATAAGTGTTTCAATTAGAACCCACGTTGCCTACCACTACGCTTTCCAAGTTCATGTTGCCTACTGTTGCATGTGTCAAGTTCAGGTCCTTTCTACAATCAATAAAGCGTTTAATTGATAGTTTGGTGTCGTTTCACCTTAATTTAGCCCAAGGGAATCATGAAACTGCTAAGACCCACCCTGGGCTGCCCAGTCTGGGTCATAACAGGCACCCTTACCTCCTGCCTTAGGGGCTCATGTCTCAGCAAGAGAACAACAAGTGCAGAGGGAAGCATCGGCAGGAGAGGACTCAGTAGCTTGCTTTCTCCTCTGCCTGCCATACCCTAAACATCAGCAGCAACCTTTTCTTCCACTCTCCATGTCCCTGATGTTGTGCCGCCTTCTCTGCTAATATAATTCTCCTCACAAGGGAAGGAAACTGAAAACACTGAAAAATGGACTGTGTGCCTTTTGCTGCTCCCATTATAACAGTGACAATGGTGGTGGGAGACAGAAAGTATTGAATCCTTATTCTCTTCACCTCTGTTCCTGAGGAGGTGGTGAAGGAAATGTAAGACTTGGGTGTGCTCATCTCTGTCAAACCATTGCTACAGCCCCGTAGCCACCATGGCACGCAGCTTCCAGCATCTGTTCAGATGATGGTCTTCTCCAAACTGCCCAGGCTCTGCTTCCTGCTCATGCAAAGAGGAAATCCTCCTCTCCTGTACAGGTAGAGATTCTGCAGCAGCTCCCCAGGAAGCAACCTGTGCCCTGCTACAAAATGGTGCCTGTGTGTCTGGACATGTGAGTCTCTGCTCTGCCAGGGTGATAGGCAGCTGTGAGCAGTTTTGCAGAAATCAACACGCTTGCGTGGGATCACTGCTACCTGTGGAGTTAATGGCATGTTGTATGATTGCTCTGTTCATAAAAGGGAAGCACCCAGCAGGATAATACCTTTGTGTTCCAAGGTATCCATCAAAACAGCAGTCTTAGCAGAGATGAACTATGAAATGAAAATAGGAATAACCTCTGGACTTTTCAGTAATTTTCAATGAAACACATAGCGGATAGCCAGAGAGGTGAGGCATATTGACACGGGTCCCCAGGCTTGTGGGGCACCTTGTATAGGACAGTCTAAACTTCCTGTTTTCCTATTGCCACGTTCTTGAACGTGACAGTAAACCACTCCCTTTTAGTGGCAGGCATTGGCCAGTCAAGCTGATTTCATCAGCACCTGGCAGACTGAATATCCAGATGTGACAATAAACAATCACACAGATTACTCATCCTTTTGGCAGTTCGGCTGTTTCTCAGTCTCTCTGGCAAGCTGTACATCAGCTTTTTCTTTCCTGCACCTGCCCAAATACTGTTGCAGAGGTTCATTCTGAACCTGCCATAACAAAATATGGTTCTGTTAAGCTAACTCCTGATACCAGGACATTTAGGGACTTTACCTGCTAGTGTTAGCCTCCCTTCATGAAGGAGAAGTCTGTTCGCTGAAGACAAAATGTTTTCACTGCTGTTTTCTCTTAAGCTTTGCTTCAAACACTTGACCCAAAAAGGAGAGAGAAAGAGAGAATGGGGAATCTTGCATATCTGATGATGAACTGGGAGGCAACGAGCAGTTAAACAAACTGAGCATACGTGTGCTCTTATCTCAGGCTAAATACATCACACAGCTAATAACTGAGCATGACTGTGTTTCTTCAGCAGTGCTATTCCTTAAATGTGTTTACCATTTTGAAATGTTAAGCTGGGTTTTTCTTTTCCAGAGTGAGTTTAATGGTTTTTGCAGCCCTGCATGTGAGCAGACATAATCCTTGAGGTGAGACCCACTTGATGATGTTACCATAATTCTGCTTAAAGTCTGTCTGTACGGGCAAGTGGGTAACCACAGCAGAAAGGTGCACATGTTCCCAGGTATGCTGTGTAATTTTTTGTAATGCTATTTAAATGTACATAAAAATTTCTTCGGCTCAGCTTGAGGAGTGAAAGAGGCAAATAATTTCTACTTCGTATCCTTATAAAAAGGTAGCAATACTTACATCTATCCCATTTCATTCTGCCCCCTAAAAACAAATACTGGAGAGTCCTCCTGGATCATATGATCATACTTTCTTGGATGCTAGCTGAGAGCAACCTATGCTGCCATCCAAGGCACTGTGCACAGCCTGCATGTTCAGCTGCAGTGTTTGCAGTGCTCAGGCTGCAGCTGCTGCTGTTAGAGCAAAGCCATCCCCAGTAACTAGAATATAGACAACCAACCAACTTTAGATGACACTATAAAGATAGATAGGAAACTAAACATTACTCAAAGAAAAATGCCCTTTAAAAAAACTGCTTACCTCTGGGACAAAGAATCTCTTGTCACGAGCCCAGACCTGAGGCCAAATTATGACCTCTTGCAACTGCCTGGACTTCTGAAAGTTGTCCAACCACTTGACTTTACCTTCCAGATCCCCTGAAATATGTGAAACATCAGTTACTGCCAAGGCTGGCAAAACCAGTCCTGTTTCTAGAAGATGCTGAATGCTGATTTCTCCAGTGGAAGCTGAAGTGCCTCACATGCGAAGCCCCAGATGAAATCTTGGCCTCATTGTAAAAAATGCCTAAACTCTTAGGTCAGCAAAGCCAGAATTTCAAACCATGCATTCAAAGGGCTTAAATTCACTGCTAAATGAAAAGGTTGTGTTTACTAATCTGACTGGAGAACAGGGGGAATCATATAAAACTCAATTAAACTGTAATCTTAAAAAGTTCTTTAAAAAAAAATTCCTGCCTTTCTAAACTGTGTGGGGTAGTGAGAGAAAAATAATTTTCATTATATACAACCTGATCAAAAGACTGTTGAAATTAATGAGAATTAATTTTGGGGCAAGTGGTGCCAGAATTGACTGAAGTATTTAACTGGGATGGGGGCTTCTCAGAATGTGAAAAATGGGGACTACATTTTTGCTGATTCAGGGCCATTATGGGGAAAACTTCAATGGACCTGCAACTTAAATTCCAAGTTTTTTGTGTTGAGTGATACTGCAAATAATGGTTTCAGAGACACACATACACACACATATACACCAGAATGGTAATGCTGGGACTGCAGCTGTTCATTATGGCACTGATTCACTGATCAAAAAATGAAGGCAGATCTTTGTCAGGTGTCTGTGAATAAAGAGGGGTCACCCCTCTATCTTCGGTTTCCTTGGCCCAGAGGTATCTAAACTCTGGAAGGACCTATTTCTTTGCCAGTAATATTCCCCAGATATTCCATGGTCTTTTGGGCCATACCTAAAACTGCTGTCCTCCCAGCAGAAGTCCCCAGACTAGTGACAAAACCATCTTATTTTCCTATGGGATCCGTTCTGCGCTGAAAATTGTGCTCCTTGTGTGGTTGTTAGGCTAGACTCCTCATAAGACTTGGCAAGAAGAGAAGGAACCTGAGTCTCTTTCAGGTGGTAATTCTATCATTGGAGTATTTATCCAAGAAGAAGGAGCCCCAGATTTATCTATCTCTAGCAGTCATTAACTCTCTCTCTGCCTCATTTCCCAAGGAGATGTTCAAACCTTCAGCCTCCAGGATGGGGAGAAGGATGGCGGCAGAAAGTGAGCCACCATGCTGGGTAGTTCAAGGCCCTGGTGTGCTGCTGGTGAGGATGAAGTGCTGCCTGGCACCTCTCCCTGCCAAGATTGGCAGGGTATGTGTTTTGCCAATGGACTTGTCTTGTCTTTGATTTCAGTGGGGACTGCATGAGGCCTTTGGGGAATAAACCTGTCTGCTGATGTACTATATGACCGTAAGACACCTAGAGATGCCTTTATAGCTTCCTGAACAAAACTGAATTAATAAATTATTTAGAATTAATAAATTATTTACTTAAAACTAATGCAGGGAAAAAAATAAAAATATTCCTGGACCAAACCTTTCTGTCCCGCAATAGCTAAAGAAAATCTGTAGCTGAGAGAGCTCTTCAGCTACTTTACATGGTAGGACCCTGTCATTTAGTGAAAGGTCACTGATGTAATATTCCCCTTGTGAGTAAAATTTTATCCTATTAAGGGTTAGCCCCAACAAATCCTCCCTAGACATAAATCCAACTCAAAGACTTCTTTGTTTGAGATCTTTCTTTAATTGTTCCAATTTGTGATCTGCTCTTAATTGTTTGCATGTCACTACAGATGATTCTGAGCAAATACAAGTGACTCACTGATTTGGGAGTCCTGTGACCTTGCTCAGAGAGGCTTTAACAGGACAAGGGTGGCACCAATCATTTTCTACGGAATGAGGAAGGGCTCAGGATTGTAGAAAGGCATGCACATCCTCATTGCATCTCTGCAGGGAGACGAGACCATTCACACTCAAAGGATCTGCACAAAAAGGCCACACAACTTGCTAATTGTTAATTGCACACTTGACTTTTAACCTTAGCGACTTACGTATGGACTTTTCCACCTTCTCTTTAAGTGACCAGATAAAGCCTTTCTCTGTTTCAACAGCACTCCTCTTCCAGATGTTGTTAAGGAGGAGGGGGTAGCGTGTCAGTCGATGCAAAGGAGCGACCAGCAGCTCCGGCAGATGCAGCCTCTTGCACTGTTCGTTTTGTTCACACCACTGCCGAAGACAAGGAAAAACCTGCCTTAGGCATCAGCTCGCTCCCTGGCAGGGAGGCAGCAAGCAGTTTTCTGCATCATCAGCTGACTGTAATGAGACAGGGACTAATTAAATATGAACTTCTCACACAGTAAGAGCAAGGGCAGTGTAAAGGCCCACTACAGGGGGAATCACATCGCTCCTCCAGATTCGCTTCCTGCATTTCTGCTTCCTATTTCAGATGCTGTGGCCATGCTAGCAGATCAAGCAGTGCTCTTATTTATCTGCCATTTTAATTTCATCAGAAAAACCTCAGTTACATTTGAGGGCCACCTTATGTTTTAGGGTCACCTGCTACTTCCCAGTGGGGAACTTTTTTGTAGGCATGAGTGTACGAAATCCTTGTCAGGGAGCAAGAGATGTGAAACTCCCAGGCCCTAAAAGCTGCAGTTTGGCTGCTACAAAAGGTGTTCTCCCAGTTTTGGTCTGCCTGTGAGAAAAGCCCACTTCTTCAGGTTTCTCTTTCTAAGCCTTTAATGTTGAAGATCAATCTTAAGGATTTACAAGACACAGTGGTCTGCTAATGATAAGTCAGAAAGAGCAGAGCCCTCTCCCCGGGAGCCCCACTGCTGCACTGGCTGGAGTTGTTGCTTCAGGCAGATGCGGTGTCAGCAAAGAGAGCATCTGCTCTAGTGCTGTAACTTTACAAAGACTGATAGATCTTTCCAGCCGTAGAGGGAGGTAAATGCTCACTTACTGGTGGTGTTTTGATACCACGTTCTACATTTGCTTTATCTATGGTTAAGCAAAACCTGTCAGAAGAGCTAAACCACTGCCATTGCAGAGGGGTTGCTTGCTGTTCTATCCAGGATATTGCTTCCTCCCTGCAGGCACATGGGTCAGCGAATACACGAGTGAGGAAAGCAGCCCAGCATTCTTGCCAGGCTCAGCCAAAACCCACCCTGCTCTCTCATTGCAGGCTCCCAAGACACATGAAAGCACTGACATGCTCCTGGATTTCTAGTCCCCTTGTTTTGATTCGTATCATATACCCCTTTCCTTAAGCAGAAGGAAGCCATCATAAGCTTCTCCAGTTTTGAGGTTTGTGTATGTCACTGCTGATGTGGCATGGCATAGCATAGCGACTAGGCACTGTTTTGTACTTGGGGAATGTGAGCCCTGCCGTCTGCTAAAACACGATACCCTACATACTGTGCTCCCACCCAGCATCTAAACCAAGCTGATATGCAGGACACGTATCAAAGTAAAACGCTTGAGAGAGATTTTACAACGATGTGGCTTGATTTTTTTTCTGTCCCCTCCCCAGTAACTATTTCACTTTGTCAAAGTGGAGGTCACCAAGTCAAGGGATTATGTACGAAACATCTGAATGATAGAGGCTGGCAGTACATATTTTCTGCCCACAAAAATGCAGCCAGTTGTTCCCTCTTGGCTTCCCTCTCTTGCCCGTTCTAAATTACAAGTATGGACTTTCACATGTGCAGGGGAACACACGCTCAGAAGAGTGACTTCATATCTTCGATACCCTCCACAGTTCAGAAAAATCTGTGTAAAATGCTATCTACACAGTTTTGCTTCCAGTGAACTTTCCTAGTCTGCTGTTAAAATCCTGTCATAAGGCAGGAAGGCTGAAGTCAACAACAACAACATCAAAAAAACCATCACTTTACTTTCAGGTAGATGCCAAAATCTTCTCTCTGTCTTAGGTTTTCCAAGTAGAAGACAGCGGAGGTATAATTAAGGCAATAAATCTGGTGTGTCTGGCAGAGGTCACCCTGGAAAAACTGCAGAAAAGGGTTGGAAACTTATCAAGAAAGAAAAATGTCACGACAAATGGAGGAACAACAGTTTTGGTTTTGTCTCATTTTACCTGAGATTTCCTTGTACCTAGGAAAATAGGGGAAGAGGGAAAAGGGGAGTTAAAAAAATAAAGGGCAAGTTAAAAAGGAGCAAAAGTGGTAAAGTAGTAAAAACATGACAGTGCTCAAGCAATGCATGGGAGCACAGTTCTAACAGCTCTGCAGAAGTGTGAAGCTTTCTTAGACTTTGTTCTCATTAGAAATAAATGATGTGAAATTCACGTAGAAGCTGAAGATAAAAACCACTGTCTATGCAACAACTTTGCATGGCCTCATATAGCATGTCATTTTATCTCCAAGTGTATTAGATAGCTCTTAGAAATATTGAATGCCATCCATGATAAAACTCAGTTTTGCCTGGGCTTTTGTCTGTCTCACACAACCATTATCAATAAGAACGCCTGAAGTCAGAGGCAATGAGGGTGAGAAGCCAAGCTCCAGCCTCCCTTTCCCTTTTTAAAATCCTAACCCTGAGGTCGGTTCTGTTTTAGTATTTTCCCCAAAGTTTTCTAATGGCCTCTACTGCTAGGGAAAGTTCAGGTCCATGAATTGATTTTCTGTCTGTATTAATATTTCCAACTTTTCAGTCATTGGGAAGTTGTGCAGGAAATAGAGCCCCTGGAGACTGCTGTTTGGACAAGTGCCTTGTGTACCATGCAGACTGCACGAAAGGGTTGCAGGGCAGTGCTTGGTAGCAGCAGGACAGCTGTGTCTGTGCCTCTCTCTTGCTTAGCAGATGCAGGCCAAAGTACAAGAGGTATTTCAGTCCCATTGAGCTCTTAATTAAACATTTAAATATGCTTGTGGGTCTGGACCATGGACTAAAGGAAGGATCTATGTGATGGAGTGGAAGGAGGCAGGGAACATCCAGCGATGGGGCTGGAGTCTGGTCTCAGGGATACATCTTCCATAGAGCGAGAAGCTCGCCTCTGCTGGTGGCAAAGTCTCCTCGAGGTCTGGGCTACTGTTCCCCAGGAAGGGAAAATCTTTCCATACTTTGTTCCACATACAGAGCACCTTTCCACGACCACTTCAAACATGCCAATAAATAAAAAGAAAAACATCCTACTGACAGGAGGTGCTTGAGGCTGAGACCAAACTGCCTGTGACAGATGGCGTGTCCTTGACTGACTTGATTGCTCTAAAGCACCTGCATGCTATGATAAATGGTCTGCTGCAAGAACCTGCTGATATTAAGCAAGAATACTTCTAATTGTGTTACCTTTCTGAATATGGAGCTGAAATCCATAGGAGAGTCTGACTTGCTAACATGCTCCTTCACAGTTTCAAAAAAAGTTTTCAGAAAATGGAGACTTATCTAAGTAAGGGAAAAAAAAGAGAAATTAGCATCAGTGATCTTCTGAAGTTAAGTTTAAAACAAGCTTATTTCCCATCCTTGGTCTCTTCAAAGGCTCCAAGCCTAATGGGGTGCCTATACTTGCCTCCTTGACATTGCCAGAATTGGCTTCAGAATTACACCCAGAATGCTTTAATTAGTCAGAAGCTAAAACGAATCTATAAAAATGCTACCTTATGTTGTGATAACGCCATATCACAAAAGCTTTGAAACAAGATTAATGTATTGGTTTTGAGTGGCAAGGTTTTGGTAGCAGGGGGGCTATAGGGGTGGCTTCTGTGAGAAGCTGCTAGAAGCTTCCCCTATGTCCGACAGAGCCCATGCCAGCCGGCTCCAAGATGGAACCACCGCTGGCCAAGGCCGAACCAATCAGCGACAGTGGTAGCACCTCTGTGATAACATATTTAAGAAGGAGAAAAAAAAAAACCCACCCAATGGGGCACAAACTGCAGCTGGAGTGATGAGTGAGAACATGTGAGAGGAATGACTCTGCAGACACCCAGGTCAGTGAAGAAGGAGGGGGAGGAGGTGCTCCAGGCACTGGAGCAGAGATTCCCCTGCAGCCCATGGCAAGGCAGGCTGTGCCTCTACAGCCCATGGAGGTCCACAGTGAAGCAGATATTGACTTGCAGCCTGTGTAGGACCCCACTCCGGAGCAGGTGGATGTGCCCAAAGGAGGCTGTGACCCTGTGGGAAGCCCGCACTGGAGCAGGCTCCTGGCAGGACCTGTGGACCCGTGGAAAGAGGAGCCCACGCTGGAGCAGGTTTGCTGGCAGGACTTGTGACCCTGTGGGGGACCCACGCTGGAGCAGTCTGCTCCTGAAGGACTGCACCCCATGGAAGGGCCCCATGCTGGAGCAGTTAATGAAGAACTGTAGCCTGTGGGAAGGACCCACATTGGAGAAGTTCATGGAGTACTGTCTCCCATGGGAGGGACCCTACGCTGGAACAGGGGGAAGAGTATAAGGAGTCCTCCCCTGAGAAGGAAGAAGCAGCAAAGACACACAGCATGTGTGATGAACTGACCGCAACCCCCATTCCCTGTCCCCCTGTGCTGCTTGCGGGGAGGAGGTAGGGAAAATCATGAGCGAAGTTGAGCCTGGGAAAAAGGGAGGGGTGGGGAGAAGGTGTTTTAAGATATGGTTTTATTTCTCATTACCCTACACATGTTCTCACTCCTCTCTTCTACTCAGTTTTGATTGGTAATAAATTAAATTGATTTTCCCCAAGTTTAGTCTGTTTTGCCTGTGGTGGTAATTGCTGAGTGATCTCCCTGTCCTTAGCTTGACCTATGAGCTTTTTTGTTATATTTTCTCTCCCCTGTTCAGTTGAGACGGGGAGTGATAGAGAGGCTTTGGTGGACACTTGGCATCCAGCCAGGGTCAAACCACCACAACTAGTTATTTCATTTAAACTTATTTTAGGGTAGTAGCTGCATTTAACATGAACTGACATGAAAAATTACAATGGATGAATGGTATCTACTGGAAAACACTGATTGTGTATGACAGAGCTGTGACAAGGAACTTTTCATGGTCATTTGAAGAAGTTACCATCTTTCATAGTTTGAATTTGTTTCATGTTATTGGAGATGAGGGAAATTTCTAGAAAATGCTATAAAAAGTCACATATTCCCTGGAAGTTAACTTTATATGTTTGCACTGGATTCAAGGGTGCCCACACTGTCAGTCATATGTGGGTGAAAGTCTGGTCCTAGGCCCACGCTTGCCCCCTGAACAAACTTAGTTGCACACAAATTCATGACCAGGCTCAGCTTTAGGCCAAATTTTAGGCCAGAAGGGAACATTGTCCTCTGTGATCTATGAACTGTTGTTGTAACTGCACACGCTGCTTTATTTGGTGTATTTATAGGGGCAGGATTGCTTATTCTTTCATTTTGACAAGGGTGCATTTCGCACGTTTTACAACATGCATTTTTTTCATGGATTCAGCCTGCTGCCAAGAAGAAATGCATGCTGTAAAATGCATGAAAAAAAGGCATAAAAGGCATTGAGAGCAGCTACTTTCTCCTACATTTGATCACTATTGGAAGTATGCAAAATAGATGATCATTTATCATCCTCATCAATAATGACAACAAAATTAGAAAACCAAATAGAAAATGTATTAAAGATAATTCTCGCAAGACATGACCAAGCTCCACCCAGCCTCAGAGCTTTTGTGATTGCTAAATAGCACACAGCAGTATACCTCACTCCCTTCTTTGAACAAGAATGAAGGAATAGGCAACCACACATCAGCTGAACTCTAGTAGCTGGCTGCATGTATGGTCTTATCCCACAACAAGCACAAGGTGAAATACCTCAGCTAAAAATCTCTTTCCTTGTATCCCCAAACCTGCTCAGGTGGTCACTCACTGCAGCTCACCTGGTGTGTGGTCAGTCACTGAGCAGAGGTGACTTGCTCATGTATTTGAGCTCTGGCTAATTGTCCCTACTCTGAAGAGCTTTCCTGCTTTTCTTGTTTTGGCTAAAAAGGGAGATGTTAACTGTTAAGGCAAGGGAATTACAATAACGGAAAGGACTTGAAGTAAGCAACTGGTTTAGGGCTGTGAGCAGTCATTCAACTTATGCAGCTGAATAGCCCCTTCCAAAATTCACTTCACTATTAAGAGTGAGGTGTTCTCTAAAAGAGCTCTTAACTTAAGCAAAACTTCTATTTTGCTTCTAAAGTTATGTAAAAGCTGGTTTGGACTTATGAATTCCTTTAACTTTCAGGAGCTGAAAATGGTCCCCCAGCAACTGGCCACAAGCAGCAAAGAGCTGGAGCACATCACAGCCAAGCCTCGTGGTCTCCCTCCTCCTGGAAGCTGGAGGGTAAGTAGCACGTGAACACAGAGCATCCAGTCTGTGTGGGAGATATCCTGCCACCCACACTGAGGGAAGCCCCAGCTGGAGAGGGGTGGTCATCATTTTCTTTTAACTTGCTCTACTGGAGTGGCATAATAGATAGCGAAGTCTTTGTGCCTATCGGTTTGTGAAAGGAAACTTGTTACTGTAGTTATCTTGCCATGCTTACTGTTTTGCTGTAAAGATTGTGCAGTCAGAGTTTATCTTCACAAATCCTTTTAAAAGGATGCTGCTTATGAGAATTAGTCTCAAACTTGTGTTTATTTCAGAAACAACTGCCAAATGAGCTCCCCTCCTTCTTCAAATGCCTGTTTATCTTTTGCTGGAGGCACATGAGAAGAATTTGCACTGGTGAAATTTGACCCCCAGTGTTATACCAAATAGAAATGAAGGAAAGCCTAATTATTTGAACTAAGGTCCAAATGTAAGCATTGAATCTGAATAGAAACTTTATGGATGGTTTGTCATCCCCTTTTATTGGGCTGGGTGATTTCTGATCTCAGTAAGACTTTTATTTTTTCACTCACCTTGTTTAACTCCTCTAAGTTTGCAAAAAGTCTCCACAAATCCACATCCAAGAGAAATTCATTACTCTGGAGGTATTTTAGAGTATTCATAAATATCTTTAAAACAAAACAAATTCATATTATTTACTATTTGTGCTAATTCAATCTCTCTTTTTTTTTTTTTTTTTTTCCCCTGAAAAGAACAGATTTGCACTGTGATTCTCATGAAATGATCATTTGATTTGGGGAGGGCAGAAGATAATACTCTGAGAAACTTTTCCTGACCTGCCTGAAGGCTAAATATTGGGCTTTGTGCAAGGAGGAGGGTATGAGTGGTGTCTCTGGGGTGTCTCTGCAACTGCCACGGAGACATGTCCCTGCTGTGCTCTCTGGCAGAAGAGGGGCAACTGAGCCTCCTGCAGATCTGTGTGAAGGAATTAATAACATCATACTTACAGATTTCTATGACCTTTCTAAATGCTTTCCTTCCTACCCCAGGCATCTCCTGCTATATAAGTTGTTTAGAGTTACTATGGGAAGAAAAAAAAAAAATGTTGGAATAGCATAAGTAGAGGGCTTGTGAAGGTTTTTCATCCCTTCGGATTGTTTTATTAACCTGTATTGAGTGAAAACTACATGTGAATGTATTAGTTGTTTAAGATTTTATACTATTTAAGCTCTGATGGTGATCTTGGAGCTGTATTGAATCTGACCTAAATCTGAAAAAGGCTTAAGAAATGTAGATTACAGAGTAGAATGTTTTGTATAGGTGTGAAAAGCATTAATGAAAAAACCCATCACCCAGGTGCCAAGACTGAAGAGCTAGTGAGAGTGTTTGCTTAGCCTTGTGTAATTCTTCAGTTGCCATGAACAGTTGACCTGAGAGCTTAAAGGGGATTTACAGTCATAAAGCTCCCTGTGGAGATTCATTAAAACCAGTGGAATATTTCTATACTGGGAAGTACTTAGAATAGCAGGTATCTGTAAAGCTGGCTACCCAAATTCAATGGGTTCTTTCTTTGGCAGGAGAGTTTGTGAAGCTGGCATGGACTGAATAGTTTATCATTCATGGGTCACATAGGGCTGGCTAAGGTTTGTCTGTGGATTCCTACACCAGCTTCACCAAGCTTCTGCATGTCCTCACCCTTTCCAGGATTCACCCATTTTTTTATCTTCTCAGAAGAAAGAGTCTAGAAGGAAGGATACTTCCATCCTGCCTTGGACCTATAGCTGGTCCTGTCGTCCCCTTTCCTCTCACTTCCTGTTCTGCCCCACTAAGGAGGAATTCAACCTACTCTTCTGTTTATTCCCTTTACTTTGCAGTACTTCTTGTATCACCTAGGCTAACTTTTCAGCAACATGTAAAATGTTTCACTAATCTTTTTCTTTTGACTAATAAGAAAACAGAAATTGCCTGTGCAGAATAAGAGAAAAACAATAGGAAGATATTTAGGGAAGCTTCCATCCTTTTAAATGGGTACACTAACTTTTGATGTGTGATGACTGTATATAGCGCAGCTATTCTTGTAACAGTGTGTAGTATTCTTGTCCATATTTCAAAGGTCTTAAAATTCACCAGGATGGAGGCAATTTAGAGTTTTTGGGAGAGGAGTTGCTTTTTAGTTTGCTTATTTTCTTGTAATATTAGAACTACTGGTCTGCTGAATTGTGAGGTTTTCATGCTCTAGTCAGGATAATCTAACCACAGCTCTACAAGAAGTTAAACGAAGAGTATAATGTTACAGACTAGTGGTAGAGAAACATCCAGTATAGTCAACTGGAGAGTGGCTTCAGTTCAGAGTTAGTGAGAGGAACAGTGGAATATCAGCTGAAATTACTGGAAGGATCTGCAATCAGATGGTGTTTACAAAACACTAGAAAGTGCTGTCCAGAAGAGATGCCATCAAGAAGATAAAAAGCAAAGGGAATTGTGGAAACAGGATGAGGCAAGATGGGAGAAAACCAAAGTGCTTGAAGTCATTCACCTGTAGATACCCAACGAGAGGTTACAGCTACACTGACAGCCCGGCAAAAAATGTTTCATTATTTTTGAGAAATGAAATCTGAAGTTACCGTCTTGAGAACCAGCAAATGATCCAGAAAGTAAGTGCATTCACTTGTGAAAAGTTCCCACACTGCTGCTTCTTTTTTCACTTCTAACCGGCTGTCGACATCTTTCTGCTCAGTCTGTTGTGCCGTTATAAATTCATGCCAAGATTTACTCTATTGATTGAAGAAGAAAGAAAACCACTGACTGTTGCATCAACTGCTTCAGACCTTCTGAAAAGAATCTATGATCTATTTGCCCATGTAAAAAGCCCGGCTGCCAGTATTAGTGATTCTTCTTCTGAAAGCTTAAAAGATTCCTTTAAAAAGATTAAGAAACCTGACACTTTCCTCCAAAATATTTATAATATAAACACACTGAATTGAAAGTAACACAGTCTGATAGTCTATGTTTGTAGGATGCTGTATCAAAAAGTAGTGGGCAGCTTGCAAATGATGAGGAATTTAATCCGTTGTGCTGCTGCTGCTACTGGAAAGCAGGGATGGATGAGAGCTTCCTATTTTCCAGATGGTAAAATCGGATACCAAAGGACTAGGTCTTCACAGGTACTTGGATATTGTTTTGTTTAGTTCTAAGGTGGCCGCTATCACCTTCCTGACCCGCTCCAAAGTCAGATGTTCACATATAAGTTAGGCACTGCCAGGATCCCTCAACAACCAAGTCTATGGGGAACTGCATATAACAGCCTGCTGTGAGATGCAGAAAGTTTTTTTTGGAGGGGGGGGGGTGTTGGGTGTGGGTTATCTGAATATCACCCTGGTAGCCCAAGCTTGGCGTTTCTAGGGCTAGGGGGCCCTGGAGGCCAGCAGCCTTGTTTATCTGGCAGACAGACTTTGGTGGGATTTCTGCGGCTGAACCTTGGTGTTGGCGCTGACCTCTGTGTGGCCACCTCTGAACGCACCCCTAAGGCAGCAGTGGGGGTGATCTTGCCCTATTTGGCATCTCTGTGATGCTGCAGTTTCTTTCCCCAGACCCCCAGGCACTGCTGTGAAGGTTGCCTTGATGCCTTTTTCTGAAGGTGGTGTCTCCTTGATCTAGGGCAGTCTGGAAGCCTGGCAAAATCCAGGTGGTTGTGAGGGCCCTTGCTAACCACTTACGACACTCAGTTTCCCCCTCGCACCTCCATTTCAAACAACAAAAATATACCTTATGCTTATGCATTAATTTTGCAGAAAGTTCTCATATGTAGATTAACATAGTGAAAAATGGTAACTGGAAAAGACCACAAAATTTTTATCCCCATCTTTAAGTATCCTTGGTACAGTATACTGAGTATTTTGATACCTTAAAGCAGAAAAAATCATATGTGCTGCAGTCTATGATCTTAACGGTTGAAAGACAGCTTTCCAGATCAGATGCTTGCTTCTGTTTGTCTTTACCCTGTTGAATGATAATAAACCCCCCCCCGATTAATGCAGTGTTTTAAAGACTGGTAAGAAGTTAACCGAGGTCAGTAACCTTGTTCTGATCTGTAAGGAGCTTGCCCTTAACTGAGTGTTTTCCTCATATTTCCAGGCTCTGCTACACAGAGATGAGGCAGTGATGGCAGGTTTATTTGTAGCTATGGGTGGGGTGTGTAGGTGGCTTAGGTGTGGGTGTGTAAGATCTTATTTATGTAACACAGAAGTCTTTGGCAGGGCAAGTCATTGGTATGGCAACAGACAATGGGTTGCCCTCAGCAGGCAGAACAAATAAAGTATTTTGCTTCCTTCAGCACTGTCAGAAGTAGGGGATGACAAACTCGTAGTTGAAATCATCCTCCTGCCATAGGTATACAAAGCTCGCATGTTTGTTTATTTTTACATTTTTTTCTTATTTGAGCTATGTATTGAAAAAACTCCTTTGGTCAGATGCAGAGTAGTGTCTATAAAATGAGCTTTTAGAAAGCTTAAAGAGCAGGAGAGGTTTGTCTGTGTGAGGGATCATGAAATAAAACCAATTGCTTTTGGTTTGGCTTTTTTTTTTTCAGGCTGACAGTGCTGTGTAAAAAGTTTAACCAATGTTTATGAACTCTAATTTAGTGCTGTGAACATAGGCTTATAAGGTGTTTGCCTAAGTTTTATCTGCTCTCTGGAACTGTATATTCATACTTCATGGATTTCTACTGTCTGAACTTTAGGCACTGAACTCAAGCCAATTTTGAAATATGTGTCTGATTATAATATTTGAAATTCAGAGTTTAAGCTCAACTCTTAGTTTTGAAAGATAGCTTGAAATGGAACAGAAACAATAATGCAATTATATATACACACACTTAGCTGATGCACCAGCAAATGAATCTTTATAAATTAAATTTCATGGCATTTAATAGTCTCAGAAATCACTTTTGGCTAAATATCAAATACAGTTTATTGCAAATTTCAAATATTTTGCTGAATTCAAAAATTCTAGTTTTTAGGCCATGCTCCTTCAAATGCTATAGAAATGCTATCAAATGAAGTGGGAACTCTTGTACATCCTAATCGGAGTACTTGCATTGGCTTCACTTGCACAAACTCTTCTTTGCTGGTCGAGATTTAGAAGATACAATGCAGAAAATATTAGGAAGGGACTGTTCACAATTACATGTTTAGGGGTGCAAAGTTATCGAGATACTTGAAAAATATTTTTTGAATGATGAACAACACTCAAAAAGGAAATTCAGATACCATAGTAAGTGAAAATTTTCATAACTGGAAAAGACAAGGAAATGTGTTAGGCAAGGAATTTAACTGAGGGGTGTTGGTGTGTATGCTTTTAGTGGAGAGTGTGAGGTTGCCCATGAGGATGGGAAAGGCCTAAGAAAGCATCTAAAAAGCTACTTTGATAGGTAAAACCTAGATCCCTTCCACATCAGTGGGAGTTAAGCAGATACTCCAGAGCCCTAAAGCTCTACGATCTAGGTTGGCATGCAGAAAATAGAGGATACAGCGTGGGCAAAGCAACGATGCGACTGACTTACCCACTTTGTGCTCTCTTACACCAGGGAGCTGCGCTGCACCTGCTGCTGCCACTGAACACCTTGAATGAGAGCTCCTGCGTTGCCCGCCCCACTCTGCCCTCCTGGTGCCAAGGGCTCCTCTCCTCCCACCACCCATGGGGATGGGGAGCAGCGGTGCTGACTGTTTTCATGTGCATCACGTGCAGCTGCACTGGTGGCTGCACTGGGGCCACCCTACCTTCACTGCAGATTAATGTCCAAGCAGTCCCAGGGTGGGCTGAGACCTCTGAGTTCAGCTCACCTGCTGGCTGCCTTTCTCCAAGGGCAGTCAAATAAGGAAACTCTTTTCACCCAGGTTAGTTGTGGGAGAAGGCAAGGTCAGTGCAAGGAAAAAAAATGTGGTGAAATACTCACGACTCCTCTTTTGGCAAATGGCCACCTCGGCTTTTTGGACTCTAATGGGTAAAACAAATGTGTTATCAGCAAAGAAACAAATAGCTAAAAATAAAACTGTTATTTATATGTTATGTTTTTGGTTTTTTGGGGTTTTTTTTGGTGTTTTTTTGGGGCGGGTCCTTGGGGGGGGGTTTGTTTTTTTGTTTTTTGTTTTGGTGGTTTTTTTTTTTTTACATGAAGCCTGATGTACTATACTCTCTTTGGCTCAGATTTAATACCTGTGTTTAGGCAGTTTGTGCACCAGACTTAAAACCTATTAAGCCTGTTGGGTTCCTCCCAGCAAGAATTATGTCTGTGATGGGATCTTGGATGATGCTAAACACTCCCACTTGCTACAGATGATCAGTATGTGCTTGCCAATTCTTTACATGGGAAAAAACATCATACCTCAGGCCAATTCTTGAAGATATCCATTGTTTTGAAGCAAGAATTAGGCTATGTCTGCTCATTGGTGATATCTTGGAGCTATGCAGGTATTTAAAACTCCTGTGAATAAACAATCCTACAAACCCTAAGCCTCAGATCTGTCATGGGGCTGGCACAGTGGTGCAGGCTGTAATTCATGGTCCCTAGTGAGGCACAGGGAAAGCTGGGGATCTAGACATAGGAATGCACTGGTGAGAGCTGAGGAACGCCTGTATTTGTTCAGCAGTAAATTTGAAAGTTTTCTAAACGTGGCACCTACTTTCAGGCCTGTGTGTGGCTGGGAATCACAGTCAAAACTTTCTCCTTTTGGATTTTGAAGGCCTCAGTCATTCTTTCTGGGAATGGCTGGCTTGTTTGCTTTCATGAAACTGCTGGTTGTGACCTTGACTTACGTATTTTCTGGCAAAATTTTGATCTCTGGTCTCATCTCTGGCAATCACACTGCACGCTATGTTATGCTCCACAATAGATATTTGTGGAAATTGCTTGCAGGTCTACATTTCAGTGTTGGAAGGTCTTGTGAGCAACCTCTAGCCATGAGTTGGCTCTACTACCCTCATGATTGGAGCACTACTGGAAAGGGTGGCATGAGCCACTCTCTTCCCTCTGCTTGAAGATGTGCAGGTAGGAATTTGTAACTCAACTGCTTGCAGATGGAGATCCTGGCCTGGGCTCTGGTTGCTCCTAGCCTGCGGAGGAGGGAGGTGATCTGTGTCCTGCCCCACCATCTACCTCTGACAGTTTGCATCCAACAATAAAATGCAGGGGAAAAAAAAAATAAAAATTGAGGGGCATTTTAAAATTAGGAATGCAGTCCCTTTGGTGTGGGGTAACAGAATCCCCTATGGAGGCTGTGTTGCCTTGCGTGTCATTGTCGCACTGATCCTCCCTCCCCATCCCACATGCACTGGAGTTTTAGTCATGGCTTTTGCTGTGCTCAGACAAGCAAACCCCACCCTGTGTCTGACCTGCTCTTAGCAGCAGGGCCGCGTGGGGCAGGTAGTCCAAGGCACTGTCTGACACCAGGAGGTCTCCAGGGAACACCTCGAGTCCCGGCAGGCTCACTACCACAGAGCTACGCCTGCGCTCGGCTGATCTGTGAGACGCAACAACAACACACGTCACCTCTCTCCGCTTGTGGCTGCAGAGGAAACTTCTGAAGTGCTCCTTGCTGATACAGGAGGAAATGAGCTAAAAAACCAAATCGCAGCATCTGTGACATGATGTGTTAAAGGAACAATGAGTAGAAAGTTTCAGTGATCGACAGCAAATAGCTAATTATCTTTCCAACTCCACATTGTTGCTGAGATCAAGGTGCTTATGGCCATGGCTTGCCTCAGATAACAGGTACTTAGAGAATTTAAATATTGGAAATTCCTAGGTTTTTCTGAGATTAGGCAAAAAGTGAGTGGAGATTTCAGAATCTGTGTTTTGACACTGGAGTCCAAAGAAGCAGTTAAATACCATGTCCCTAGCTGATATGTGGGTTGTCATTACTTTTAACCTTCATATAACTCAGGTGATTTCAAGAAAAGATATCATACTAATGAAACAGTTAAAATGTTGGGTTTTTTTCTTTAATATTTAACCTTTTGGCTAGTTTGTGCTACTTTCTTTCTAAATCTTTATGGCGTTTTTTCTGCCAATTAAAATATTTTGTATTTTGAATATAATATGACTTAGTGGCCCTGCTGGTCAAAAACAAATGGCTCTTTCCAACTATTGTTGTTACTAACAGAGAGCATTGTCCAGGATGTAGATCCATCAAGTGAAGTGACACAGGCATTCTGTATTCAACAGTGTGTTTGTGCCAGAGGCTGCTTGCATTCAAATACAAAAATTATTGATGCACATCAAAAACCTCTTTGGATTTTGCTAATAACTCTCACCAATACTTAATTAATTTTGTTAGTGTACTGCTGCAAAGTGATGGGTATCTGTAGCTTCTGTTCTGCTGTCTTCAACTGATTGATGCATGAAGACTGCATCAGATTTCAAAGGGTCAGTAATTAAGCAGCTGAGGGGAGGAGGCATGAAGTGTTTGTGGATAAACAAAAATCCTTTTTTTTAGTCACCATTTCTTGTGTATGGTATTTTTGGCCAGTTAAGTATAATTCTTATTACTTTTTTTCCTAGGCAGATACCTTACTCTGAATATTTAGCCATTTGCCAACACCTGATGTGTAAACTGGCAGGTATATTTTTCCCCTTAAGTGCATGAATAGTCACTTGACAACTTATCAACCGGCAGATGAGCTCTGAGGTAGAGAACTAGGATTTGATATGTATAGCATGACATGGAGATTATGCTTTTTGTTATGATCTGACAGTGACATTGCTTGCAATTGCCTTAGCTAAACCAGTGGAATTGTATAGATGAAAGGAAAGACTGCTCCTAACAACAGAGAGGGCTGTAGGCTATCAGAAGGGCCAGGCCTGCGACTTTAACATTTGAAACATGGGCATACTGGGGCTGAAAACTAAGAGTTGAGGCATTTACAATGTGCAATATACGAGTTCTCTAAAAAGCTTTTCCTTTTCTGGTAGCCCTACTGAATGGGGAATAGAGGAACTGTTTATTTAACTTTAGGGATTTACAATGAAAATCTGAGGTTTCTCATGAAATTGTACCTAACATGTGGTTTGAGAGCTTTTATGGATGGTGTCTGTTTCTTGGTTGTCTGCAAGCCCATACCAGTGCAAGAGAGACCGCTTCCTGATGAGATGCGGTGAGTGCTACCCAGTGCAAATTTTAAGTGTTGGTAACAATTGTATTAAGATGCCTCTGAAACCTCTAGATTACCATGCAATCTCTTGGGCAGCTGGGTTATCATACAAGCCAGATGCTGCAGTATAATACCAGGATAATTCTAAAAGTTGTCACTCTTGTACTGGTAAATTCAGGAGATTTATTTCAGGGTGGATTCACAATAAAATTTTGCCAATGTATTATTGATTCTTGAAATCATAGAATCGTCTAGGTTGGAAAAGACCTTTAAGATC